GTATCAACCAAGTGGCCGGCATAGTGTACAGGAACATCTGTGCCGAGTATAACCTGGAAGTCCCGAGGTCAAAATGGGAGATGCTCCCAAGGGTGGTGGAGAATGACCGAGCTAAGATCCTGTGGGACTTCCAGATACAGACGGACAAAATGGTGGTGGCTAACCAACCGGACATAGTGGTAGTAGACAAACAGAAGAAGACGGCCGTAGTGATCGATGTAGCGGTTCCGAATGACAGCAACGTCAGGAAGAAGGAACACGAGAAGCTCGAGAAATACCAAGGGCTCAGGGAAGAGCTCGAGAGGATGTGGAGGGTGAAGGTAACGGTGATCCCTGTGGTAATCGGAGCACTTGGTGCGGTGACTCCCAAGCTAGGCGAGTGGCTCCAGCAGATCCCGGGAACAACATCGGAGATCTCTGTCAAGAAAAGCGCAGTCCTAGGAACAACTAAGATACTGCGCTGGACTCTCAAGCTCCCAGGCCTCTGGTAGAGGACCCAAGCTTGAAGGAAAAGCTCGACTCTGTGGGGGTCAAAGTTTGCAGAACTACAGACGCAGCTGGAATCCACAGCTGTGCGTGTTCATGGAGCTGCATTTTCACCTGCTGGACATCACTACCTGACAAGCTTAACTGTCTTCAGAACATTGCAGAGGCATGAATTTGGTTCTGTGTGAGCAGATTTTCTCTCACATGAGTCCTCAGGTAGCCGTCTGAATGCTGGACACTTGGAGACCTGTGTCTCTGAGTGGGAGACCAGAGATCACATTAACATGTGTGTCTCTGTATTAACAAACATGCCATATTTGCGCAGTTTATTTTTGTTATCATTGTTGTGAGGAGACCATAAATAGCATTTACATTTTCTGTTGTACAGTTCATTTGCTGTTATGGATAAAAAGTCTTTTTTTGTTTCAAAATAGCTGATAACTATTCGCTGATAGCTGCAAACATCTGCGAACAAATATAATTCTATAAAGTTGTTCTATACAGTGTGTAACTGTTAATATAGAGCGTTATTAAATTTATTGCTAATGCAATCATATGGCACATTGATTTCAGAGGAAATTTTAGACAGCCAGATGAACAGAATCAACTTTTGGAGATTTACTTACCTGGATGATTGAGAATATGAGAAAATGCATCAATATACTTTGAGGAATTTAAAATCTAAGACATATTTAGAGTTTCCTATCAACTTTTTCTTTGCTGCATAATTCATACATCTTGCTTCATATATTTGATGTCTTGAGTTTGTATCTACAATGTAGAAAGTAGTAAAAATAAAGAAAAAACGTTAAATAAGAAGGTGTGTCCAAACTTTTGACTGGTACTGTATATATGCATTTTTTTTGCCATTTAGTATATTTTAACCCAAATATCTGTATTTAAACTTTAGACCATAAAAATTAAGAGATGGTGGAGCAGTAAATATAAAAAAAAAAAACCTGATGATTTGAGATTCAAGTGATCCAGGTTTTGAAACTGACAAATATACACAGATTTAACTAAATTATCTTGAAAATTATTTGATGTGCGGAACTAAAATTTCAGACGGTAAGTTTGCCCATATGGAAAAGATGTATATAAATCTTATAAAGTTTGTATCTGTCTTGTGTGAAACTTGTATGAAAAGCATACAAGAGTGAAAACAGATATAAGTTATATCTTTTCCATATATAAAAATTATATAATGAAACTTGTATGTTTTGGATACTTACTAAAACAATATATGAAAGTAATGAGAAAGTGGCCACTTTCATGAGTAAATCATATAAGTTTTTACTATTTCTTTTCCATATGGATGGGAATGACAGGGATGACTTCCCTATCAGTGGGGCTGAAGTCACTGAGGCTGTTAACTCTTGGTGGCAGGGCCCCTGGGGTGGATGAAATAGGCCCTGACTTCCAGATGGCCCTGGATGATGTAGGGCCGCCTTGGTTGACATGCCTCTACAATGTCATGTGAAGAATTAGAATTAACTCCTCCAATATAGGGGCCATGGTTCTGAGCAGGAAAAAGGTTGCATGCCCAATCCACCAAAGGGAATAAGAAGTAAGGATGGGAATTCCTTGGAACTGTTAGCCCGCTTGCCTGTCAATTGTCAACAACGTAATGACAGGAATGACGCATGATGTCTTCCACAGCAGTGGGACCCTCTGCATACTCAGACTCATCATGAACAGTTTATGAAGGACAATGACAAGATAATATGTGACATGGTCTTCAGAGTCTATAATGGACTTATGTGCCAAGTTCGGACGTGCAACTCCTGACTGTGTAGGAAGAGTTGGCTATCAAAAAATCAAAAATAGACACACAGAAATTTGATGCGTTACAGAAACTAGTTCCTCATTACCAAAGATTATTTAAACTATAGTATTTAAAATTGATGCCTTTCTGAAAGACACATATATGCAGGTCTCAAGAGAGTAACCAACTTGTTAGCTGTGTGTAAGCCTATGTTAAACTGGAAGTTTATAACTGTTACATTTTATATGTATGTTTTCTGTTGAGAAGTTACTATGCATTAAATAAGCCCAAGTCCTCTGTAGAATTGGGTTCGTAGCAAACTGCTTGAGTAAATTAAAATTCAGGCCAGTTTGCAAAGACTTAAAAACACATGAAGTAAAAAATAAAGTGAGTCTCTGAGATGAAAAATCCATTGTAGCTGCACTCTCACATTAATGCGGAAAGAAAACACAAATAAAAGAATATGAGTTGGAAGCCGGCACTCTGTTCTACGAAAAGTCAAAATATAGCTGCTCCCATAGGCGTTTTCTCAGCAAAAGTCTGTCATATCTCTTTTAGTCAAGGGACACCCAAATCATCACACTTCCACCTCTATGTTTGAGCTTTGATTGTACAAGCTGAAGTTTAAGGGCCTGTGCATAACATAGGAAACTTGTTATAAAGATAATACATTACATCTTGCTTTGTATACACTGTGCTTTCTCGTGTCTTCTCTAGAAACTCCAGTTTCTCCTGCAATCAAAAATTAGACTAGGCTATTTACTTCCAGTCTTAATCCAAAAAATATTCAAATTCTAAAGAGTTCTATTTGCTGGTCAAACCCAAACATGACATAAATCAGCTAATTATATTTTTTTGGTTTCAAAGATTTGCCTAACAAGAGCTTATTATATCTGACTTCTCAACAAATATGATTTGAATTGCTAAAGGTTACAAATCACTTATAATCATTTAATACTGTTATGATTATGGAAAGTCTTAATCAACCAAATGCCTTTGGATTTGAATGGAGCTGAATAATAGATTCATTGATAATTAAACACAGTAGTTATTTTCAATCTAAAACATCATCAGCATATGTCCCTAAAATAT